TTCCTTATATCCTAACCAGTCTGATCGGCAGCACAAAGCACTGAACAAATGTTCACTGGTTCCTTATGGAGACCTGCACTGTGGCCGGTACTATATTACAGGTACCATGGTGTCATGAGTCACATAATCTATTGGAAGATACAAATATCTACCAAAATAGATCATTAAAAACACAACTATAGAACTCCCTTTTTCTGTGCATAATTACCCAGCATTGAGCATGTTAAAGGACTGAGACATCATGCCAGTAGAAAATGAAAAGGGGGAGGGAAAGGAAAAGATAGAGTTTTGTAAGATCAAAAAAAAAAAAAAAGAACCAAACAAAAACAAAAAAACCAGTATTTTCTGAACCTACAAAATGCTTCCAGGGTAATTACTTTGTATGCCAATATGACTCATGGCAAGAGGCTTAGCTGAGACCTGTGAACTGCCTGAATTTGATGCAAGGCGTATGTGGCTCTCATGTGTAACTAATGTCAATGAGATCTGCAGATGTGAATCACCATACTATTAAAAACATCTGAAACACATTCTTCTTGATATTAGCAAAAGCTTAACTCTAGTTCCACTTGGCCTGGGAAACGTTTCTGTCATTCTGCTGGACCAGCCCACACATACTGGGCTCTTGATAGGTTCTGGGCGCAACCATCTGGCCCTTTATTTACTTAACTCTTTTCTAATACTGACAAGCACATTAGTAACACTCTTTTGATCACTAGTAAATATAAAGCTACTGCACAACTAACATCTTCTCTCATTCTGAAAGTCACTAATTAGTTGTGGGTACGAGTCGAAGAGTATTACAAAGACATGTTAAGCATTACTACAGTAAGTAATTTAAATACACCCAAATGCATGCTAATTTATTTCCCACTTCATTAGAGAAATGGAAAACACCTTGTCAACACTAAAGAAATCTAAAAAGAGACCAGAGCATTTGGAAGGATAGTAGGTAGTTAAGAAAAAAGAATGATAGTAGAATTTGGGGGGGGGGGGAATCTACATTTTTTTCTTGATTTCTTTTCCTTATTAGACAGTATTACTCAAGGCTAAGGAATTGAACATGACTGTAATCTCAGCACTCATGAAATAAAGGCAGGATGGTCACCATAAAAAGCCAGCATGGTCTAGGTATTGAGACTGTCTTTTCAAAAGACAAAAAGGAAAGGCTGAGATAAAAGTGTATTTAATGGGAACTTTGCAGTCAGTTAATAAATGCAGGTTTCCAAATGAGACAAATAAGGTGGGTGGCTCTTGTTTCTAGATCATGATTATTCTTACTAGTACTTATATAGAACAGAATTTTTATAAGCCATATTAATCTTTCCATACAGAAGTTCTAAGTTGTATTTTACAGAATACAATTTAGGCTTAAAACAAATAATGACGTTCCAAAAGATGCAAAAAAGACATTTCGAAAAAAATTAATTCTCATATATATTTCAAAACCGAGAATTTATATAGTTTTGATCCATTATAATTTATTTATAGCACATTTTTATGTAGATAAGAGACTAAATGCTAAATTTTATGTAAGATTCAGATTGTTCACAGAAAATCAGCTAATTGTTTTGTGTGTTAATTCAAGCATCAGGTTTAGAGCATCATACCCCAACTCCCTGAAAGTGAGTCTGTGTAGGCTCATTTCTAAGCTTAAAGGATGGGACACCAAGCAAAGACTTTCAGTAGTTATTTTGGATTTCACTTTGGTTCACTTGTTCATAGACATTTCAGGAAAGACAACAATTTCTTATAGTATAAAACCCAAATAGCTAGAATCTTTTTTTTCATTTATTTATTTATTTGTTTGTTTGTTTATTTATTTATTTATTAAAGATTTCTGTCTCTTCCCCGTCACCACTTAATGAAAACATAATCACATTGTGAACTATTTCAGATTCTTATCAAATCCTATAACTAAATAACTAAAGAAAAATCAATACTTGGTTGATATGCAGAAATAAATTGATGTAAGGATAAACAGAATAAATAAGGGGACACAACACACTGGAGAATATGTAATTTAAGATCTGTCAAAGAATTGGGGTACCTGTTACTGATAGGTGAAATAAGAATGATTTTGCTTATAGATTAATGCAGGTATCGAGATAGGGCATTATAGAAGCCTTGTGCTGCAATGGAAGAAAAACAAACAAACAAAAACCAAAAAACCTCCTCAGGAAAGGAAATGTTCTGTTAATTACTAAGAAGTGATTAACCAGCTGACAGAGCAATTAGACATGAAAGGTATGAAAGCACCAAAGGTAGCAATGTTGGTGGCCACTACCCATCAAAAGGCTTTGCCAGTACAGATTGGATGCCTGAAACCAAGTACTACATAAAAACAATAAAACCTGGAGCCAACCAATGGAAGATTCAACAAAATCCACTTCCAACTGCAAATATTCCTGGAATCCTATACTGAAGTATTTTTTCACTTGGGAATGGCATACACTGCGTACTAATGGGTGCTTACCTTTACTTACCCACTATGCAGAGCAAATAAAACATCAAACTAAAAATAATCCTAGTCTTCTGCACACAGACGTGATTTTACCTTTAGCTAGCAAAGATTGCTATTGATAGGTATGACCAGAATGCCACTACATGAGCAGATGGCCAAAGTGAGCCCAGGTCACTAACAATAAATTATGTGGGTCTTTGTGTCCCAAACAAACAAACAAACAAAAAAACACAGAAGAGGTTACTGTGCCCTCCTTTGTTTGATGTAAAGCTTTATCAGTGAAATATAAATATAAGGTTATAGCACAGACATTAATGCTGCATAATGCCATTTTATATAACATTTAATAAATATCTACATGATCACAATAAAAATCCTAAATTGATGAAAATAGAAAAATATATGAAAACAGTACCAAATTTTGATGTTTACAGGAATATGAATGCAAATGGAAATAATGATATTACGTGAAGGAGTTCTGTCTCAGAAAGACAAATACTGTGTTTGCTATGCAGTCATAGGAACTGAGTACAGATCACCAGCACCCACACAAAAGGTGGCATGGAAGCATGCACTGTGGCCCAAATGCTAGGCTGGCTGACACAGTGGATCTGAAGCTCTCTGGCCAGCCAGTCCAATTGACCTGGTGATTCATTAGACAAAATGGTGATAACTAAACAAATGTCAAAAGTGATAAATTTTATACCACGAGACAACTGAAACATAGAGGGGGGGCACAAACACAAACATTACAAACTGAATTCTCGATGTGCTAACCTCATTACTATTAATATTACACAATATGCATTACTTGGAGTCTGAAAAATAAAAATTAATGATACAGTAGTACAAGAGATAAATTAGGAATATATTTCTAATAACATAAGAGATAAATTAGAAATATATTTCTAATAACATAAATTATTTCTAATAACATAATGAAGATACCTGAAATTATATATTAAATGAATAGTCATATGTGGTTGTGAAAACTTACAAGAGAATTCTGGTTACCTACCTTCAAGAAAGAGACGATGAAATATGAGGTTCAAGAATACATCTTTATTACCTCTGTATCTTAAAATATTGCCTAGTATTAATTTTTCATCAAGTTGTCATTTTCCTTGACATTTGATTTTATTAATCAAGGCATTTATCATTAATTTGTAGAAAATACCATAATTAAGCGAAATAAAATAAAATCCTTAAAAGGTTAAAATTAGAAAGCAGATGAATTAGAACTTTGACATTACTCTGTTGACATACATGAGCTACTTGGAAGTATGGGAATCAAGTTTTTTCAGAGTTTGTTACTTCAATCTTGGGGCTGGATGGTTCTGTAAGATGTTATAAAGATTTGATTTAAAGCTGTCTGACAGTTTTGACATTCAGGTGATAGTACTGCTGCTGCATTTGGAACAGTTTGCACATCACACTGTTAAACAGAATGCTTGAGGTGTGCACGTGTATAAAGGAATTAAAACAAGCTGCCACACATGCCTAACTGTGTGTACTCACCACTGCTGCTTAGGTCACACCACCTCAACCCCTCCAATGAAATATGTGACTTACTCTTGTATAATAAATTGCCCTAGCATGTTATTCTCACTGGAAGACCTAACCATGCATGTTAGAAGCAAAGTAATTACAGTACCCTCTTGTCTAAGAAGCCTCTCTCAAGCCCTATGAGCTCTTTCTATACAATGCAAGAACCCCCCTCAATCTGGACTTCTGTATCTAAAGCTATTAAATGTCATCTGAACAATTTGGATGTCTCCAATGAAAGCATTTTTATCCCTCCTACAGTAATTGTAAAGATATTCCTGGGCATAAATTAGTTTCTGCTTTTGAGTCAATATGCCCACTTAAAGAAAGGGCAAGGTTTAAAATAGGAATTCAAACTAGGAAAAATGGAAAGCGTAACATAGTTTTGTAGAAAAAAAGTATAACATCAACCAATTAGGATTAAATACTGTGAGATGGCAGTTTTTTTCTGATTTACATGTAATTATAAATTATTTTGAGGTAGAGGTTAATTGTTAAAAGGCAATAAAAATAGTTTAAGTAGGAAATCCAAGGTCTTAAAAATAACAAAGCATGTTCATGAAGATAAAACCTATGGGTGATGTAGGAGTGTCTTCTATCTATCTGTTGCTTTCACTGGTTAATTAATAAAGAAAAGTGCTTGGCCTGATAGGTCAGAACATAGGTAGGCAGAGAAGACAGAACAGAATGCTGGGAGGAAGAAGGCAGCGAGGCAGACACCATGCTTCTCCTACCCAAAACGGACGGTGGTTAGAATCTTCTCGGTAAGCCACCACTTCGTGGTGGTACAAAGATTATTAGAAATGGGTTAATCAAGATGTGAGAGTTAGCCAATAAAAGGCTAGAACTAATGGGCCAGGCAGTGTTTAAATGAATACAATTTCCGTGTTTTTATTTCAGGTGTAAAGCTAGCCGTGAGGAAGCCGGGCAGGAAGAAAAGCAGGCCCGCTCGCCTCATCACTACATATGAGCAAACATCACTGGACATTACCTTCAGCTTCAGAGTCTCAAAGGGCACTTCAAACACTCCACTCATTTATCTATAAAAAAAATAGATACTTAAAATTAGTAATCAGTCAAAAACCCATTTACATTTACAGTAATGTCTTCAGGATTAGCTTTGAAAAGAATGTAGTTGATTTCATGAATGGTAATATCTCTAGTTTTAAGAAAAAATTAAGTTAACAGTCATTACAAGTCTTGAAAACAAGCAGTAAAGATTCTCAGCAAATCATGTCACATTCAATGCCAAGCACTATGTGTACATTTCTGAAAGGGCAGAGTAGCAATAAGTTTCTTAAATGATATTAACAAGGATTTCGAGGTTTCAATATTCCTATTACTTAAAAGAGATGCTCCAAATTCAATTATTTGCATATTACTACTTTCAAATTTTATGCTTTTGAATGTGTGTGCAGGCATGTCTTCACATGTGCTTATATGTACATATTTGTGCTTGGAGGTTACAGGACAAGCTTTGGAATTATGCTTAGAAATCCGCCATCCGCCTCCTTTGAGACAGGTTCTCTTACTGACCTACAGATCACCAATTAGAATAGACTGGCAGGCCAGCAAGGCCCCAGTGACTGTCTTGTCTCTGTCTCCCTAGCATTAGGGTTTCAAGAATATGCATGTCTGGCTTTGTACGGTTATGCTATGGCACACGAACAGCAGGCACTTTACCAACTGAAGAACTCTTCCTGCCGTGCCTATTAATACTTAAACACTCTGTGAAGATCTACAATGTCTAGCAAATCAGTGAGAGCAAGTTATCTATAAAGGTAAGATACAGATTCTATAAAAATGATAGATAAGGTTAAAATATTTGCATAAGCACAGATAATTAAAAGGAAAAGTAAAAAGGATAGAAATATACAAAGCAGCAAAGGTAACATGTTCAATGGAGTTTGTAGCAAGGTTGATCAAGAACTGGGTGTGGGGTAGGAATGGAGACACAAATGATTGGGCTGTTTCTTTTTTAAACAACTTTATTCCATTCTATTTATCTGTGTGAAATTATATTTGTAATGTATATGTGTGGTGTATACATACACATGTACAGAGACCAGAAAACATCAGGAGTCCTTGCTTACACTTTACAATTTATTTCCTGAAGACAGAGTTTCTCATTGAATTTAGAGCTGGGCAGATGGCCAGAAATCTTCTTTAATCCACAGTCTCCAGCCTGCACCGTGCTGAGGGCTACAGTAATAACTGTCCGTATCTATTTTTTTCATGTGGGTGCCAGAGATTTGAACTGCATTCATGTTTGTATACCAAGTACTCTTACCTGCTGAGCCATCTCCCAAGCACTTAGAGAAGACCCTTTTAGATTCCTTTCTAACCACATACATTAGGAGAATATAGAATCAAAGTTGAGACTGGAGCTGAAGCAAATAAGATGCTAAAAAGGCTTTAGAAAACAATTTGATAAATTTCACTATAAGAAGATTTAGCCACAAGCAATTCTCCCATTAAAATTTGATCTTAATATTTGATGTCCTTGGAAAGTGATCTTTCTAAATTTGCTATGAAATTTCTATGATGACCTTGTGGTCATATTTACTAAAAATCTCCACAGAGATTTGGTCATTTAGAGTCTCAAAAGCAGTTTTGCTAATGGAAATGCAATACATAAACATAAGCTAATCCTATAAGCCAATATATCTACAATTAAAGACCCCCATCTAAAAAGTCTGAGGATTTTAATTGGCTAGATCTTTAATAAATGTATTCAACAACATTCTTGCAAAAAGAAACAAAAGAAGCAAGCAATAAACCACACCAACAAAACAAAAGATACCTAAATCTAGATTGGGTTGACAGACAAAAGAGTCCAGAAAAGAAAAACTACAGCATCATTGCACTGCAAGAACATGAACAATATCACAATTCCTCTGCAGTAGCATGCCTTAGGGAGCCACAGGAGAACAGATTCAGGATCAAGATCAAGACCACTGATGGCAGAAAAAGAGGATGATCGGGGACAAAAGAGAGGAGTAAATCAGATTATAAGGTGGTCCAGAAAAAGACATTAGAGAAAATTAATTTCCCCATTACACGATACTTTATAAGTGTGAGTTTTATTTTCTCTTTCTCTCCCTCATTAGAGTGGAGTAAAGAGGACAGACCCTTTGTCTTCTTCACACTATCTTCACTAGTGTCTGTTGGGGTGTAGACAATCAATGCATTTCTTGAATAAAAGAATGAACTAAGCAACCTATGAACCAACCACTCATCTCTACATCTAGAATACAAAGAAGTAATCTAGAACTTGAAGAAATTACACATTATATACTAATTTAAACTTTTCCGTTTAGAAATCTCAAATTCCTACAATATAGTTTACCAGTATTATTTTTTCAAACAAAGGAAAAAATAAACAACCAGGCAAATGATTAGATTTATGATAGTGAAGTAGAACAACACAAAATAGCAGTGCTGAGATCTACATGAACTGCTATCTTCATAGGTTTGGAAAAAGAAGTTTCTTACAAGAGGTGACAACAGAAAGAAACCCAGGTGATTAAGTGAAAGACTAAAAACATATATCTAAGAGTATCCTGGTTGCTACCAGATTGAATGATGACAAACATTATCTTCTTTAAATACCATGACTAGTGCACAGCAAGCTGGCTGCTCATTAACTATTATTTTTATATCGCTATTTTTATCAATTGCAGATTTCTTCAGTAGATAAGCCTGTGGAATGTATTAATTTTTATCTTCTCTGAAGTTCTTTAAATAGTGCCTAACAAGAACTCAATAAACATTTACAGAACTGAAAAGAAGACAACTATTATCACCTAATTAATTAGAAACATAAACAGACTATGAAGATATAAAAAAGTCACCACATTTCATATGCCTGAGTCAATCTAATCAGTATCAAATAATAATTAATCTTCCCCAGATTTATAAAAATACAAAGAAAAAATGAAAAATATGCCTAGGGCCAATAAGTTAGGAATCCAAATAATAAGAGTTAATCAGAAAAGATAAAATGAAGTTGTCAATATTAAGTAAGCCAGTATCCTGACTATTTAAGTACTGTCTGCCTTTATCTGACTGACACCATTTTTCTCTAACACAGGAATTCTATACAACAATATCTGCTTCATTTATGTATTCATGGCACTAGCACAAGCTTGCTTATAATGAATATTTTTTTAAAAAAAAATCTTTGTTGAACTAATGTAGAATTATCATGATCAGTTCTGGGGTTTTGCTGTTATTTGTTTGTTTGCAATATTGGAAAATTAACTTAGGGCCTGACACATGACCTATCACTAGGCTGTATCCATATTTATTATTTTACTTTTAATTTTAGACAGAGTGCCACTAAATTGCCCAGACCTTAAACTCGGGGTCTTTTGTCTTACTTTCCAGGTATCTCAGATTATAGCCCTGTGTGTGCCACTAAGCCTAGCAAGAGTTATAAGCTTCAAACAGCCAGCCAAAAGATGGATAAATTTAAAATATAAATTTTAATGAAATAAATATCTCAGTTCCATGGCAAACATGTATAGAATAAAGTAAGCTTTTACAAAGACTGAAAAATAATTGAAAAGAAAACAATCGTATTAAAAAAGCAAAGCGCATGGCAATTACAACATATTGATTAAAGGCAGTATTTCCAAAGACATACAAGGAGAAACAAATTCTACATACCAATTATCATGTGGAAATAAATTTGATATATATATATATAAATATAGTAAACAAAAATAATCAGTGATATTTAGAAATATGTGTGTGTCATCTACTTAAGTACATGGTGAGGGCTTTTTAGGCACATAGTGGTATGGAAACAAATCTATCAGTTTTGCTGTATAAGACAAAAACTGCCTTTTTAATACTTATCATTAGACCCATATATTTGGTGCAGCTCCCACCCCACAGCAAATAAGCTTTTTTTTTTTTAGTGAACGGAACTATTACAGAGAATCACGACTGGTAGAAGAGCAAAGAATAAGTGACTGTGGAGTATCCACCCTCAAACAAGACATCTATTAAACAATGCATACATCCAAGGCTTAGGGAATATTGAAAGAGATGGCAGATGGATGGTAAGAATCAGAGAGGCAGAAAGACTGATGCAAGATATTGTCTTCGGGAACTCTTAATAGTTATGGTTGCCTATCTAAGACTTGCATAAGGCTATCGAAGTTAACATTCCAGTATGGATGAGAGAAAGAGAGTCGGTTGTCTTCTGGGACAACTCCCAATAGGCTGTCCATGCCTAAGTGACCAGTTCTACAGTCATGTGAATACAGCTAAGACCCTAAGCAATAGAGAAGATGATACCTGAACTGGCCTTGCCCTGTAGTCAGACTGATGAATATCTTAAATATCACCATGGAACCTTCATTGAACAACTGATGGAAAAAGAGACAGAGATCTGCAGCAGAGCACTGGGCTGAGCTCCCAAGTCCAGTTGAAGAGTGGGAGGAGTGAGAATATGAGCAAAGAAGTCAAGTTCATGATGGGGACATCCATGAAACAGCTTACATGAGGTAACAGCTCACCAACTCTAGTTGGACAGAGAAAGAAACAGCATAGGAAGGACCAAACTAGACCCTCTGAATGCAGGTAACAATTGTATGGCCGGAGTAGACTGTGGGGCCACTGACAATGGCACAAGAATTTACCCCTACTGTTTGCATTGATTTTTTGGGAACCTATTCTCTTTGGATGGATACCTTGCTCAGCTTAGATACAATAGAGAGGGCTTTGGACCTTACCCAAAGAGATGTGCCTTATCCTTTCTGAGGAGTAGATGGGGGTCGGCTGGGGGAGTAGGTAGAGGAGATGGAAGAAGGGGAGGGAGTGAGAACTGGGGTTGGTAGTTAAAATGAAAAGAGATAGCTTGTTTTCTTTTTAAAAAAATAAAATAAATTTTAAAATAACTAATTGAAATCAGTAAAGGTGTGTGCATGTGTGTGTATAACAATAATTATACATGAATTTGAGATGGGTATCAGGGCAAGGATGTGGAAAGAGATGAAGAGGGAAGAGGCACACATTATTAATATGGAGT